GTTGTGAGGTCACAGGCTGTGTAAAGCAGCTAGCTCAGTGCACAAAGAATATCGAGTGGATGTATTTCCTGCGAATAACCACCATTTTCAAGCACATTATAAATTCAAAGCCTATCCCCTACAAAAAATATTAATAAAATAAAACTCCCTCCTGCATAGCACAACACAATTGAAATTTGGCCTAAAAACATTACAAGTTACTTCTTGTCATGCCACATAGCTTAGGACAGCTCCCTTCTTAAAGCCCTCGAGTTCTTTCCAGGGACACCACGTGTCTGGTACGCGCAGCCAGCCCGGGTGCCTTCCCTCTGCCCCACAGCAGTGCTGGGCTGAAGCCAAGGGCCTGCCCAGGTGCAACCACTGCTGACCCCAGGCCTGTCCCTCCTCTAGACCGGGAAGGATAAGGATGCCGTGGACAAAATGCTCAAGGACTTGGACGCCAACGGAGATGCTGAGGTGGACTTCAGTGAGTTCATGATGTTTGTGGCTGTGCTCACATGTGCCTGTCACAAGTTCTTCGAGGCAGGATGCGAATGATATCCCAGAGATCCAGATTCCTGACGGAGGTGCGGCAGGGCCTGGAAGCGGGCCCCTGGCTTCCAGAAAGTCCTTGTTGGTGATTACTCCCCTGGGCTGAGCCCGCTGATGTCCTTGTGATTAATACATACTTGTGAAATGATCCTGGTCTTGAAGAAACTAGTTATTTCCTTAAAACGTCATGTCTCCTCCCCACAAAAAACAATTCACTAATTAAATTTGTCATTTATTTACTCATTGCCTGCCTGGTGGAGAGTTGGAGACGGTGGACAGATCAGTTGGTAAGAATCCATTCATTGGCCATTTCTGAGTGCCTGCCTGTGCCAGCCCTTGACTGAGTATGGCCACCCTGTCCTGGAGGAGCTTTGGGGACACGCATATGTGCATTCAGTCACTAGCTGCTCATTGAACCCAGGACCGCCCCCCCGCCACCATCTCTCCAAACATGATGTTTTTACAAGTAACATATTTTAATGATACAATACCATTTTTGCCAAAAGACCATAAAGCGCACTAACAAGCCAGGCATGGTGGCTCACGCCTGTAATCCTAGCACTCCAGGAGGCCAAGGCTGGAGCAATGCTTGAGCTCAGAAGTTTGAGACCAGCCTGAGCAAGAGCAAGACACCGTCTCTACTAAAAATAGAAAAATTAGCTGGGTGCAGTGGTGCGTGCCTGTAGTCCCAGCTACTCGGGAGGCTGAGGCAGGAGGATCTCTTGAGCCCAGGAGTTTGAGGTTGCAGTGAGCTACGATGATGCCACTGCACTCTACCTGAGGTGACAGAGGTCACCCCAGTTTTGAGACTCTGTCTCAAAAAAAAAAACCCACAGTAACAGACAAAAACACATTACAAGTGAGGATTAGAGTCACCAGTGAACAACTGCTCACATGCCCCAGGTGTACAATTTTATGACACTAGCTTCAGGAAGCGCCCACAGTGACAGGTGAGGTCTTGGATATCAGGTTGGTAATTGGATCCGGTTTTAGGACTCCTATCATTTTTTGAATACCCAGGATTTGAAGCCTCTTCCTATGTTTGAAGACATTTTCACTATAGAAGAAAGGGGTGTCCCTTAGAGGTGGACACAATGATCTGAGGCACTGAGGCATCTGCGCACTTAAATAAAGGGCAAGGAGTAAGTTAATAATGGGGGAACCAAAAGGATGAACCAGGGTGGAATCTTTTTTTCCTTTTTCTCTCTGCTTAACAAATTAGTCATCATCTTGTGAATGAAAAATCACCCAGCTTATTAATTTTGGGGAAGGCAAAGCCTACAGAAACTGCTGCAAACACCAGAGCCCTCGCTTCCTGGCCTCACTCACAGGCTCAGAGCTGGCGTGCAAGAACCTCACCTGGGCTCCCCCAGACTCTATTTTCACCCAGACTTGGAATTGGACAACTGACACAAAGAGGTGGGGACCTGCACAACCTCTTTCAGGTTTTGCAGCAGGGTCATAGGAGCCACAACTCATAATTGCACCTATGCTCTCTATGACTCTTAAAGAGACATCTTTGGTAAACCTATCACCCAGGGTGGATTTCTGTGCTTAGCAACTAAGAACTCAGACTACAGGAGTAGGAAAATACAGCATGCTGCTTCCTTCAAGCGTCCTGCCTGGGGTTTCTCTGGCCCTGATCATTCCCGCCCTCTCTGCATGGAGACAGCAGGGCCCCTCCCTCATGAGTCTCTATTTTCATCCCACGGGACGTACTCCATGGCTGCCCAGGGGAATTCTTTTCACCTCATCCTGGCTCCTTCCTCTGCTCCAACTGGGAGATTGCATCTGTGTTGGAATGTAATCCAACTCCTACGGTCTGCCACCATCCTATTTCTGTGCAGGGTCCTCTGAGCAGGAGGCAGACATCCCGTTCCTCTGAGAAGTCCACAGCCACCTCTCTGGAGTTCATACCTCCCTGGCAGGCACCTGGCATCTAGGTCCTTATGGAGCAAAAGCTATGCCCAAATAGCATTTTTTTAACGGCTGCAAGGAATTCATTGGAATGAGGATACCATCATTTGATCACTGTTAAAGGTACAGTTTTCGCTATTTTTGTTTTTAAAAAGTGTGCTACAATTAATATTTTCATGCATAAAGCTTTAAGTTCAGATGATTTTTCAAAAATGGATTCCATTTTGGATTACTAGATCAAGGAACATTTTTTTTATTGTGATATCTTAACATAAAATGTACCATCTTAACCATTTCCAAGTGTACAGTTCAGTAGTGTTAAGTATATTCACATTGTTGTGCAACCAATCCCCAGAACTCTTTCCATCTTGTAAAACTGAAACTCTGTCCCCATTAAGCACTAATTCTCTGTTGCCTCCCTGAGCCCCTGGCAGCCACTGTTCTGCTTTCTATGAATTTGACTCTAGTTATTAATACATCATATGAATGGAATAATGCAGTGTTTGTCCTTTTGTGACTGGCTTATTTCATTCAGCACGATGCCCTCAAGCTTCATCCATGGCATAGCATGTGACAGAATATCCTTCCTTTTCCAGGCTGAATGATACTCCGTTGTGTGCGCACACCACATCGACTTACCCATTCATCTGTGGAGGACACTTGCATTGCCACCAGAATATTTTTTAAACAAAATATTTAACCCAGGCCGGGCGCAGTGGCTCGTGCCTGTAATCCTAGCACTCTGGGAGGCCGAGGTGGGCAGATTGTTTGAGCTCAGGAGTTCGAGACCAACCTGAGCAAGAGCAAGACCCTGTCTCTACTAAAAATAGAAAGAAATTAATTGGACAGCTAAAAATATATAGAAAAAATTAGCCGGGCATGG